CACACACACACACACACACACACACACACACACAGACACACACAAAAACAAACAGCCTGACTGTAGTACGAAAACAACAATCGAAATACTATATAAGTAATTCTGCCCCGGTGAACACTAGTCCCTCTTCTGTCTGGTCGATACTTGTACAGAAGAATGTTTATACCTGTTTGTTTTCTTCCGTTTTATCATTGTATCAATCTGTCCCTTCCTTCAGAGGATTCATATTCCCCCATTTAGATGGTGGCTTTTATCTTGAATGATATCGTACACTTTCTTTTGAAGTGGAGTAAAAATCGTGGGAGAGAAATAATTGTGCTTCATTAATTGTTCCTGCTCTGTTTATGAGTGGGTGGTTGGCGGGTGTTCTGGTGTGGTTTACTTCTTCTTTCCTATGAAACATCTATCGTCCTTATCTCCCCTACTTTTTATGTTTGTTACTCTCTTGTAACACCTCTAATCTTCTGGCGCTCAATATGACCTCATGCAGTCGCGAGCCTCTACTAAAACTAACTCTGTTTATGATTTGGTTGATTCTCAATATCTAATATTTGGTAATATTGCCACCATAACACACAATAAAAGAAATAATTTATATATACTTTTTTCTTTGGTGAAAAAATAAAGCCTTCACGTGATCGATCTATTTACCTCAAGAGATGTTAATTTCCGTAAAAAGTAAAATCTTTGGTTCCCATTCTAGAGAGATTCGTGTTTTGCTATATTATTGCCCAGGACGTGTACATTATTTATTGCTTATATCTGATACATGGCCGGGCTGTGCTCTTTATGAAGATGCGTATCCTTCTTTTGCACCGAGTAACGTGGTGGAAGAGCCTCTTGATGTTATCGGGGTGCGCGCAAAGCCATAATTTATGCAACTTTGATGACATATGCGTTTTCTCCCTCCTCTCCTCACTTTTTCTATCCCCTTCTCTCTTTCTCTCTCTCTCTCTCCCTCCTTCGCTGTCGTTATGTCTCGTCCTCTCTCTCTGTTTCTCTCTCTCTCTCTCT